GCTGATGACGAAGTGGGCGTACTGCGGCGGTGCAGCACCGTGAGCGGCTGCGGAGGGCGGGCACGCGGGGCGAGTGGCCTCCCTCTTCCTCCGCTCTTGCCTCCACCTTCGGCGTCGGGCGAGCTCTGCAGGGCGGCAGCGGCGGTGCTGTCGCGGACGGGACAGGGGCGCGAAGCGCGAAGATACCCAGTCCCCAGGAGGGATGCGCACCTGTTGGGCGGGGCGGAGCCATGTCCCATTCGGGGCTTCGGCTCCGAGTGCGGGGTGGTTGTGCTTAGCCTAGGGTGCGGTGTCCCAACTGGGCCTCTGGGCAAACAAAGCGATCCAAAATAGTCATCATCCTCCTCTTCCTCCTCCTCCTCCTCCTCCTCCTCCTCCTCCTCTTCTCCTCCTCCTTCTCCTCATTCTCATCATCATCCTCCGTCTCGTCCTCGTCCTCGTCCTCGTCCTCGTCCTCATCGTCCTCCTTTTTCTCCTCCTCCTCCTCCTCCTCCTCCTTCTCCTCCTCCTCTTATTGCTAAGATCTTCTTCGTACGATTATTACGACTGTATGAACATCAGTATTCACGAAGGATATTAATGTTATTAGCATTTAAAGAGTATGTGTAATAGAATTAATATCATTTCGATTATGAGTAGTGTTACTATTGAACTTATTACTACTGATAGTGTTAGTATTATTGTTGGTACTGGTATTCGCATGATGGTGAGTATGCTGTATGATTAGAATGGTGTTGTTAGTAGTAGTAGTAGTAGCAGCAGCAGCAGTGGTACGATGAATGCGACTTATAGCATTAGATGTATTCATAATATTGGGTATGAGTAGTTTTAGTAGTGTGTTCTCCTTGGTGTTAATAGCCGCATTAGTGCTCCATGCATCAAAAATAATAGAGTCAATGCTATTAGTATTAACCGTCTTTGTAGCAATAAAATGTTTCTTACTAGCGCCAGCAGTCGTAATATGCACCTTATTGGCTGTATCATTATTCTTCATACGCTTCTCCGCAACATATTATAATAATGTGCCGTAGTGTTTTTCGTATTCTGATTAGTAACAGCGTCCGTCTGAGCAGTCAAAATATGCTTCTCCAGCTTCATAGTAGTGTTCGTGTTACGATGGCTGAAGTCGTGTTTAAAATATTAGTTGTAATAACAATGTTATTCTTGCGATTCGTATTAGTGTCCGTGTTACCTGCCGTAGCACCAGTGCTATAAATAATCGTTTTTCATAATTTGATTGTGATTTGACTTATCCTGTGTATTCGCGTTTTCATTTTAGTCGTAGCATTCCCGCTACTATTATGAGATTCTGTGTTGGTAAAGCTGTATGTATTCGCGCAGTTACCAATAGTGATAGTATATGTACTACTAGGCGTTATAATTCCTCCTGTTCGGTTTCGTATTCGTTTTCCTCCTCCTCCTCTTCCTCCTCCTCCTCCCCCTCGTCGTCCTTATCCTCTTCCACCTCGTCCTCCTCCTCCTGCTCCTCCTTTTCCTCCATCTCCTCTTCGGGCTGCTCATGCTCGAGTTCTTCCTCCTCATCCTCCTCCTCCTCCTCCATCTCCTCCTCCAACTCTTCCTCCGACTCTTCCTCCAACTCCTCCTCCTCATTCTCCTCATCCTCCTCCACCTCCTCCTTCTCAATAGATTCCCCCTCCTCCTCCAACGTTTCCTCCGCCTCCTCCTCCTCCTCCTCCTGCTCCTCCTCCTCCTCCTCTTCCTCCTCCTCCTCCTCCTGCTCTTCCTCCTCCTCCTCCTATTCCTGCTCGTGTTCCTGCTCATGGTCAATGATGTCCTGTTCGTCCTCCTCCTCCTCCTCCTCCTCGTGCTCCTGTTCCTGCTCAGTTGTCCTGCTCTTCCTCCTCTTCATCATCAGCCTCCTCCACTTCCTCTTCTTCTCATTATAGTTAGCAAGGTTATTCGTATTACTGCTACTACTAGTACCGTTCGTATTAATATAATGTGTATTCATTTTGTTGTTAGTATGTTCATTATCATTATCAGTAGCATTATCATTATTAGTATTAGTAATATCAGTAGGATTATTAGTATTATTAGTATTACTATTATGATTAGTATGATTATTATTAGTAGTACCACTATTACTATTGATATGATTATTATTAGTAGTAGTAGTAGTAGTAGTAGTATTGATATCATTATTATTATTAGTAGTATTATTGTTATTATTATTAGTATTAGTAGTATTAGTCGTGTTATTGATATTCCTAGCATTATCATTAGCAGTAGTAGCAGTAGTAGCAGCATTACTGGTAGTATCAATATTATTCGTATTATTATTCGTAGTATTACTAGTATCGTTATATTGTTATTATTAGCATTCTTATTGTTATTACTCATCATAACATTACTATTTTTCTCATTGTCAGGATCATTACTATTATTAATATTATTAGTAGTATTATTACTATTAGTACTAGTAGTAATAGTACTACTTATCTTTTATTTACGTATTATTAGTATTATTGTTAATGGCACTGTTATTAGTGTTAGTAGTCTTACTATTCGTATTATTATCATGTTTGTATTGGTATTAGTATTAGTATTCCCGGTACTCTAAGTATTACTATTAACAATCATACTATTATCAGTTGAAATGGTATTGGCATGCGTATTAGTATTGTTGTTACTTTAATCGTATTATCTAGTTCGTGGCATCCTTATTAGTATGCGTATGATTAATACTAGGATTAGTGTTATTAGTATCACTACAAGTATTATTAGTATGTCTGTTAGTATTGATATTATTATTCTTAGTCGTATTAGTGGTGCTCATATTCTTAACAGTCGTAGAATTATTCTTCGTAACAACATGTTTAATATTCGTAATAATACGGGTCGTCTTCTTACGATTATCCTTCGTAATAGCACGGGTCGTTTTCTTACTATTCTTAATATAGGTAATAGCATTAGTATTCGTAGTATGAGTCGGTTTCTTCGTCTGCTTCTTCGCGTGCTGATTACTATGATTGCCATTATTGTTATTATTAAAATCATTACTATATTCTTGAAAGCAATAGTATTCGTACTACTCTTTGGCAATTACGATTATTATGGTTCCTCCTCCTCCTCATCATCATCCTCTCCCTCCTCCTCCTCGTCCTCCTCCTCCTCCTCCGCCGCCTCCCCTTATTCCTGCTATTCCTGCTCCTCCTCCTCCGCCTCCTCCTCCTCCTCCATTTCCTCCTCCGTTTCCTCCCCCTCCTCCTCCTCCTCGTCCTCCTCCTCCTCCTCCTCCTCCTCCTCCTCCTCCACCCCCTCCGCCTCCTCCTCCTCCTCCTCCTCCTACTCCTCCTCCTGCTCCTGTTCCTGCTCCCCCTCCTCCTTTTCCAACTCATCCTCCTCCTCATCCTCCTCCTCCTCCTCATCCTCCCCCTTCTCCTCCAACTCCTCCTCCAACTCTTCCTCCGACTATTCCTCCAACTCCTCCTCCAATTCCTCCAACTCCTCCAACTCATCCTCCTCCTCGTCCTCCTCTTCCTCCTCCTCCTCCTCCTGCTCATGCTCCTGCTCCTGCTCCTCCTCCTGCTCCTGCAACTGCAACTGCAACTGCAACTGTTGCTGCTGCTGTTGTTACTGTTCCTGCTCCTGGTCCTGTTCCTGCTCTTGCTCCTCCTCCTCTTCCTCCTCCACCTCCACCTCCTCCTTCTCCTCTGCCTCGTCGTCCTCCTCATCCCCTCATCATCATCTGCATCATCAGCATCATCATCATTATCATCATCAGCAGCACCATCATCGTCATCATCATCAGCAGCATCATCATCATAACCATCATAATCATCATCACCATCGTCGTCATCATCATCATCATCATCATCATCAACACCATCATCATCATCCCCCTCCTCATCCTCCTCGTCGTCCGCCTCTCCTCCTCCTCCTCCGCCTCCTCCCCCTCATCGTCATCAGAAGAAGCAGCAGCCGCAGCAGCAGCAGCAGCAACAGCAACAGCATCATCGTCAGCATCCTCATTATCAACATCAGCATCATCATCAGCAGCAGCCATCATCACCATCAGCACCTGCATCATCACCATCGTCATAATCAGCAGCATCATCAACAGCACCATCAGCATCATCATCATTATCTCAAGCGGAGAAAAGTTGGAAGCTAAATTACTTTTAAAAAAAATGCATGGAAGCATTTGAGCACGCACCATATCAACGGCAACTTCCAACAGTCACATGCAGCGCTGCACGCACGTCGAGCCGACGTGGGCCTGAAGGTTGACTAAGTGCCCGAAACCTTCGGCGCCGAGCACATCTGCGAGCCTCACATTGTCTCAAAGTGCAATGAAACCCTCGGCGCCGAACGCAGTGGCGCGTCTCGAAGGGTTCCAAATCGCCCCGAAAACCTCGGCGCCGAGTACATCCGCGAGCCTCACATGGTCTCACAGTGCCACAGAACCCTCAGCGCCGAACGCAACCGCTCGTCTTCAAGGCTTTCAAATCGTTCCGAAACCCTCGGCGCCGAGCCCTTCCGCAAGTCTCACATGGTCTCACAGTGCCACGAAACCCCCGGCGCCAAACACATTCGCGCGTTTCAAAGGAGTCTCACGATGGCCCGGAACTCCTGGCGCCGAGCACGTCCGCGCGACTCACGTGCCCTTGCAGAGCCGCGAAACCCTCAGCACCGAACGCATTCGCGCAATTCACATGTTCTCACAATGCCCAGAAACCCTCGGCGCCGAGCCCATCCGCAAGTCTCACATGGTCTCACAGTGCCACCAAACCCTCGGCGCCGAACGCATTCGCGCGTTTCAAAGGGTCTTACAATGCCAGGACACACTCGGCGCCGGACGCATCCACGGCTACCGCGCATCACGTCACGACGGCGCTCTTTTTTCGGGCGAGGCAGAATGCCGTGAATCCCTCTCATGCCTGCATCTGGGTGCGTGCGTAGTGGTTTGTGGTGCGCGTGCGTGCGTGGTTGTTGGTATGTGCGTGCGCGTACATAAGGCGACGTGCTGCAATGCGACC